GTTATGCGACGACACTGACGCGGCCACGAATCGAGAGAGATCTTTGGACAGGCGCAGGTAGGAATTCTCGCCACTGAGGAAGAAGGGCATCGACGTCAACCACACGTCGTCGTCATGGCCAGCTATCTGCTCCTCTGGGCGGGACTTGGCTCTCCCTGGTGACGGCTTAGGGGTCTTACGAGGCGCGCTCGAGCCATCTGATGGTAGCCTCACTTGGTTGTGAGACTCGGAATGATTCAGGTGAAGATCTTCCGCTCCAGGTCTTGCACTTGTGGACATCTCGAGCGGCATTGGGCCAAGCTCGAAGCTGTTCAGGCACTCGTCCATTACCAAGGCCTCGGAACGGGCTCTGAACGGGTCGATCCACCTACTTGATCCGAGAATAGCTCTCTGTAAGAAATGCTTGAAGATGTTGGAAGGCGCGGGTGAGAGCGCCTCCGCGTTCTCAACGATATTGCATGCCTCCTTCTGTAGAGACTCGTCTTCGAGGATCAGGTTCTGGCTTTTCTGCTGCCGTGCGAAATTATGTAGCTGTAGCTCTAGAAGGCAGTCCTGGAATATCGTTGCCTTCCCGGCGATTTTTAGGGGAGTGAGCCGTGACTTCTGCTTGCCCTTGATCAGTCGAGTCTGGGCTCTTCGAGAAATCTCATCTGAGGAGAGGAAAAGATCTCGAAGCCATGATGCAGAGGAAGACACGAGTTCATCTGGTATCAAAAGGTCTGAATCAAATATCACACAGCACCCCTGGTATAGTAGTTCTTCGTCCGTTGGCATCGAGCCATTTCCATCGAGGTAGTCTAGTATGAAGTACTGGATTTCGGCTTTCAGTAGTTCGTATGCGCTTGTCGGAGACTCAGGCGACCCTTTGCCGGCGGTAAATGGATAAGGTGATGCGCTTTCGAGGTGGATCAGATCTGTTCATCAAGTTAAAAAAGACTTGGTCCCAATGCAAGTGTGGTAGAGAGACAATCCAACTTACAAGGAGGCATCGCATTCTCAACTATCTCCTGTACATGCGGCTCAAATCCCCAGTCCCCCTTCCAATCCGCCATAGTCTTTCCGTCCCGTTTGAAATGCCGAGCCAGGTGGTCAACTCGGTCCTCCCATGAGAACAAAGTGGCGTCGCAGAAGCCGCATCGCGACTGAATTTGATTTGCTTCCTTCTTCCAGCCCTCCATCGGCCATGGCATGAACTTTGACCCATGGACCAGTCTGAGATGCTGCTGTAAGTGGTCTTTTCGGTGGAATGTCCGCTCCTCTGAAGACCTTCCGAAGCAGGCGGCAGAGTTATGGCCCGTTAGATGCTGTTCGTCTGGGCTCTCCAGTCCGCAGTAAACGCAGGATGCCACAACTTGCCCAGGCCGAACCGCCACCGGTCCAGCAGGAGAGCATACCCAGCTATCGAGAGAGATATGCATGGATTTCTCATGTCGTCTCCAATCATACTTGGTCTTGAAGGAGTCAGTGCAGAATGTGCATGCAAATGTATTCCGAGATGGGACCAGCACTGTCCGACGACCCTCCATTTGCAAGGCGTCCTGCCGTTTCCGCCTCCGCCGGCGCCGTGCAGCGCCCACGGGTGAATTCAATGATGACCCGAGCGAGCCTCTTGAGGAACCAGAGATAACAGAGCCTTGACTTGAGCGTGAGTTTCCGCTACCACCGATGGAAGAGCCGTGGTCGAAAGACCGCACTGACTCATCCTCCCCAGATAAAAATGAGCCGCTGCTTTGATTACTCACACTATACAGACCGAAAGACTCCCTCACGGCGCGAGCGATACTGCTTACATCGGCTGGTTCAACCTCCGGAGGAGAGTGTTCCCAACGCTGTAAAGGGTTCATATGCTCAAATGGAGCCGGTGTTGGGGCCCGCGGACGTCTTGGAATAGCGAGCGAGCCGGTACTTGCTTCTGTGTTCGGCAGAGGGGCCTGAACAGGTTGGAATCTGGTTCTCTTCCTGGCGTTCGCGAACCACGTGCTGATCTGACGCTTTGTGAGGCCGGTTTGTGATTGCAGCCGCCGCAGATCTTGGCTCCCCGGATATGGATTATCTAGATGGTCGCTCATCCAGTTTCTGAGAGTCTTCACGGACATCGCGGAGAATCTTACTGGCCGTTGTTTATCCTCCCTGGCCAACTGTCGAGGCATCTCGTCAATTGATGCCAGGTTTAAAGGTGGCAACAGCGTGTTTCTTGTGTTGATTTCAGATGACTGGTTTTGTTCTCTTTCGCCTTCATTCTCAGATTTCACTAGGCCAGACGAGCTTCTAGATATCATGTGTAATGCCTCTGTGGTGGTGTCTGCTTGATTCCTCCCTGGGCTGTCACGACCTTCTCGAGTCCCGAAGCCCAAGAGGGTTAGATCGTGGTTGCCTTCGATTAATCCAGGATAGAGAGCATGATTTCCAGTCGAAGAAGTTTCTTGTGGATACTGGTCCCCGAAGTCAAAGGAAATGCAGTCTGAGAGGTCTAAGCCAAAAATGTCTGAGGGATGCCCATCGGCATCCCAGGTGAAGTCGTCAGCCATAGTAGGCGAGAAAATGTATGTATTCACTAAAGCCAGGACCAGGAGTGATCGATCTGGCAATCGTTCACATGGTTCTAGAAGCAGGGCACGTTTAATGCAATAGTGAAATAAGGGCGTGATCCATTTCCCAAAACTTTACGCCGGATGTAAAGATGCGCCCTTGGATGATGAGCTTCTTTTGCACACTGTGTGTTAGCGGGCCCGCGGCCAATTTTACGTGGTTAGAAGATAATGGCACAGTGCTTTTCCGTTTCTCACACTCACCCAATCATCATGATTGGCGGAGTTATGATGCTAATCATGTCGACCACGATGTTTATGACTTTATCTAGCGAATAGGATCATGGTAATTAAATTCTTGGATTCAACTTTGCATAAATATTAGGACTCCTCTCGAGGGCCGCAAAGCCTTTGTAACTCTTCGACAACCTCATTGCTCAAGCTCAGCCATTTTGTCCTCAATATCACAGCAATTTACAATGCTTTCACCCATCAATTGTCTGAGGACAAAAACTCACTTCCCCGGTCCTAGAAAATCCTCCACCGCTCGCCAGTGCCTCACACAGCTAAAGATCAATTCCGAGCGGCTCCAGGAGACTCTCCACTACACCTGTCAATGGGGAGCCGCCAATCGATATGGAGAGTATGAAGCCAGCACACGGGGCACAAATTTGAGCTTCCAACGTTGACATTGTTCGTTTTAGGAAGCCCACTGAGACCGGAATGAGCCGTCTAGCGCTCTCTGACGACGATGCGCAAGTCAGACGCTGGTTCCGCCAGGAGACAGAGCGCCTCGGGTGCAAAGTTACCATTGACCAGATGGGCAACATGTTCGCCCGGAGGACAGGCGCCCTGCGTTCTTCTGCCCCTATGACAGCCATGGGGAGTCATCTTGATACCCAGCCTCGAGGCGGGAGATATGATGGTATTCTGGGAGTGGTAGCCGCCGTCGAAGTACTCCGAACAATGGAGGAAAACGGTTACCAGACACAGTATGATGTCGGTATTGTTAACTGGACAAAGTTTGTAGCACTCGTTTCCCTCTCATCACTTGTAGCACCCTGTTTCACCTCATTTACTCCCAATTTCGTTGTCTTTCGCAGACTGTGGCACATTGGTAACTGACGTTTGATCGTATCAGTGAGGAAGGAGCACGCTTTCCGAAATCGATGGTCTCTTCAGCCGTTTGGGCGGGAGATATTCCAGTTGAAAAAGCCTGGGCCCTCCAAGATATCTCCGATCCCTCCGTTACAATGAAGAGCGAACTACAACGGCATGGATATCTTGGGGAAGTAGCATGTTCTTCTGATCCGGCGGATGGTTATCCATTGGGGGCACATTTCGAACTACACATTGAGCAAGGCCCCATTCTGGAGCAGACGGCGAAGAAAATCGGCGTCGTGACTGGAACTCAGGGCTACCGTTGGTTTACTTTCACTCTCACAGGTCGGAATGCCCACACAGGAACCACGCCCTTTAGAATGAGGAGGGACCCATTGCTTGCCGCCTCGAAAATGATCGCCTCCTCAAACGCCATCGCCAAGAAATTTGGTGGCCTCGCTTCCACGGGAATATTCAAGATGCCAATCGACTCTTCTACAAACACAGTCCCATCAGAGATCAGCTTCTCGCTTGATATTCGGCACCCCGACGATCGCGTGGTCGCAGCGATAGAAAAGAGTTGTTTGGAGTCGTTTCGAGATGTTGCTCAAGAGGATGGTGCCGGGGTTGATATCTCATGGACTCTCGATACAGACTCGCCCGCAGCCGTGTTTGACAAGCAGTGCATTTCAGCTGTAGAGCAAGCAGCAAGCTCGTTAGTTGGGCCTGATGGCTGGCTTCACATTGCGAGCGGAGCTGGCCACGACAGTGTGGGCACGAGTAAGCGCTGCCCAACCACGATGATATTTGTTCCCTGCAAGGATGGGGTTAGCCATCATCCTGAAGAATATTGCAGCCAAAAGGACTGGTACGTGGAGCCGTGAAAGCATCAATATACAAATAGCCAAGGCTAACGTCTATTTATTTGTGCAGTGCCATCGGAACACAAGTGCTCCTTGATTCTATCCTCGTCTACGATGGATTCAGGGAAAACAGAGCTGAGCGACCAGCAAAGTTGTACATATAGATTTGCCTATTATTGAAATGACTTGAACCATTTGGAAAATATCTAAGGTCCCTTTTCAAACAGACTCTTCGAACTGGAACATATGATAAAACAGTAGCATCAGATCAACGGTAGGTCTCGGTTTTTACCCTGTCAAACTTCATTTCCAAGCTCAAAGGAGCGAATATGAAGGGACCAGATATCGTTGCCCAAGATTGAAGCGTGGTTTCCCGCTGGGGCTCTGCTATCGACATTTATATTCATAACATTTCCGTAGCCTACTTACCGCCCCTCCACACGTGCCGTACAGTCTTTCCACCTGATTTTGTTACCTGACCAACTTGCATGGACTTCAAAGCAGTTCATTTCTCAGCACTGACCGCTTTCTCAACAACTATTCTGCACAACTCTAGTAACTCGTCTCTTTCCATCTCCTGTATCTTCTCCCCATGGCAAAAATTGCTCGATATCAGCATTGTCCGAATCTCGTCGCCTCTCTCCTCCAGCAGCAGCTTTAGATTCCCAGAAGAACGCAATGCTGCTATTGTATCTACCTCAGGCGTGAATGGAAAATCATCGACTCTCTTCTCTAGCAGCAACTTGAGATCTTCAGAAGAGCCATATGCTTCTGTTGCTGCCATAAACAGCTCATGGGTAAGCCGATTCCCATCGCCTCTCTTCTCTCGCAGTACCTTTAGTTTCTCAGAAGAACCCCATGCTGCTACAGCTGCTGCTACAACCACCTCAGGCGTGATCTTAATCTCGTCACCCCCCTTATCTAGTAGCAGCTTCAGATTCTCAGAAGAGCCCCATGCTGCTGCTACTTTAACCACCTTGGGTGTGATTAAGATCTTATCACCTTTCTTCTCTAGTAGCAGCTTTAGATTCTCAGAAGATCCCCATGCCGCTAGTGCTGCTGCTATAACCACCTCAGGCGTGATATGAATCTCATCGCCTCCCCTCTCCAGTAGCAGCTTTAGATTCTCAGGAGATCTCCATGCTGCTGCTATAAGTACCTCAGGCGTGATCTGAATCTCATCGCCTCTCTTCTCTAGCAGAAACTCAAGCAACTTCATGCCATTCTGATGCCCTGCTGCCGCTATAAATACCTCAGGCGTGCTTTGGATCTCATTTCCTTTCTTATCCAGCAGAATCTCGATCGTCTCCTTCACACGATAGCCGTTCACTGCCGCTATAACCACCTCAGGCGTGATTTGGATCTCGTCACCTCTCTTCTCCAGCAGCAGCTTGAGAGTCTTGGGAGAACGCCGTGCTGCTGCGGCAACCGCCTCAGGCGTGATCTGGAACTCATCGCCTCTCTTCTCCAGCAGCAGCTTGAGATTCTTCGAGGAACGCCCTGCTGCCAGTTCAACCGCCTCGGGCGTGATTTGGAACTCATTACCTCTCTTCTCCAGCAGAAACTCGAGCGCCTCCACCGTATTTCCTGCTACTGCTGTAACTAACTCGGGCGTGATTGGAATCTCATCACCTCTCTTCTCCAGCAGTAGCTTTAGAGTCCCATAAGGACTCCCTGCTGCCAGTTCAACCACCTCGGGTGTGATCTGGAACTCGTTACCTCTCTTCTCCAGCAGAAACTCGAGCACCTCCATCTTACTCCGTACCGCTGCTGTAACTATCTCAGGCGTGGTTGGAATCTCATCACCTCTGTGCTCCAGTAGCAGCTTTAGAGTCTCATAAGGACTCACTGCTGCTGCTGTAACCACTCTGGGCGTGATTTGAAATCCTGGCATTATGTCATTTTGTAATATATGGCTGAGCACCTTTGGCGCATACATGGCAATTTGAACCAGGCTCTCTTCGGTGAATTGGTGTGAAAGCTCGGGAACGCTTGGATCGCTCAGTCCACTTGCAAGCCATCCAATATCAAAATAAACACAGATGTCGAATATCGACGAGGTACGGTACCAGACTTTCCTCTCATTCCATCGTGTCCAGTGCTCATGGTTTGAGCCCATGAGAATGCTTTGAACCAGGTCGATGCTGTCTTTCACATCATCAATGCTTTCTATGTGCTCATGCCAATACGTTGCGGCGTATCGAAGGAAGGTAGCCCCTTCTTTGCCGGAACAATCTTCCTCGACTGAGATTTCATCTTTTCGAATGGTGACATCTCCAAAGCTCAAGTATCTCATGCACGCTCTCCCTAGTGCGAGATTCGGTCGCGGAAGCTGCAGTTCCAAATCCCCTTCATGCCATATTGTAGGTCGACTTTTGAGAAAGTCCAATAACGATTGATGGATCACAAACAGCTCTCCATCAATGACATCAATCAGGGTTCCCAGCCTCTCTTTGATCAGGTCAGCATCGAGAGAAATCCTGTCCTCGAGGCAGTCCGCCCAATTGCCGCTGTTGGTGAGCATGACCGCTACTGCTGTCTCCAGCTCTCTCAAAGAAAGTGGCCTCTTGGCATATGCCACCCAGGCCAGAATGGCAATGGCATGTTTCCCTCTTGAGGCGGCTCGGAACAGATCAGTGTATAGCTCGTCGAGCTCCCGGGGCGTCTTCTCGATGACTTTCTGGACTGATTTCCTGTTGGGGAAATCTATTCTGCGAATCTCCTTTAGTATGATGTGTATCCAGAGGAACGTGCCTCCTGCACGGCCCAAGATTCCCTCACGAATGTCGGTATGAAACCTGCTGAAACTTCTCGGCAGCAATTCCAGTTGTTTCGTAATGAACACTTGGACGTCATGGTTGGGCTGTCTGAGGTTCCGTCTTGTTTCCGGCGGGAAGCTTCCCACTGGGCCATCGGGCCTGCTAGTAAATAATAGCCGGATTGGGCATCGCCCTGCCATCTCTCCCAGCTTGGTGACGAGATGTTCCATTCCTGCAGTCTCATACACATCCAGTCCGTCTATAATGCAGAAGATGCGACGATGTAGACCGCTCTGCACCATATCATCAAAGGTTCGCCATAGCTCGTCAAAGGCGGCCGAATGGAAGGTTTTGGACTCCCCCTTGGTTTGGAATCGATTCGGGAGTTTCTGAAAGTATCTCTTATCCGTGCATAGCTGTACTATTAAAGCCCGGAGAACTGATGATGCAGTCCGTGCGTTGTCGTCCTTGATATTACAGAAGAAGAAGATGACTTTGTCGTTGCACCGGTCCTTGACAGACTGCTGGATGTGGTTTACCACAAAGTTTGACAGTACTGACTTTCCCAGTCCTGGCGGTCCAAGAACTAGAAGGGAAGATGATGTTGGGCCATCTCTCCATGTCTCGAAGTCTTCGTATTGCAAGCTATCCTCGCCCTGCGGCCTTTGGGAATCTTTGCTCACGAGCCATTGAAGCGACCCTTCCACCGGCTTTGCTAGCTTTTCTTCATTTTTATAAAAGGCCCGGTAGTCGGGGACATTCAAGTCATCCCAATGCCGTTTCTGTTCTTCAGAGAGTTCTGGAACAACAAGTTAGATTTGTGGTGAACGATGCAGTAGCATTGCTTCCACATACCGATATCCGATTGGAACCGTCTAGGGACAGAATCGCAACCTTCCTGAACAAGATCTCCCAGCTTGCCTTGGACAATCCTGTAACTCGGATCCTCACGGCGCATAAACTTGACCAAATCAGAATGATCAAAGGGCAGTGGTTGTTGGCTGTGTGTATCGTCCTCAAAACCTATTCGACAAGCTGACTCTCTTGTGACCATGAAGCATGATTCACCTGCCCTTCCCAGCTTCCCAGTATTATCGACCTAGCCAGTTAGGACGTGTGTCAGCAAAATTTCACTCTGGTAGTAAGCTGAGTGGAACATGAATCAACGCACCGCAACAGTGGGTGTTTTCTTCTCCTCATAAAATGATACGATTTTCATTGGCGGCTTTTGCTTTCGGTGGCAGCTAACAAACCTCTCCTGAAGGCCTTGAAGATAAGAAGTCGGCTCGGATTCTGTGTCGACCGAGAGATCCAGTATGAGTTGCCTATTCAGATGTTCACGGGTGATTTCTTTGAGGCTTTCGTGCTTGAGCCCCAGATTCGGGACACCAAAGAACACCAGCCCGTGTGAAGACCTGCAAAAGTCCCTGTTTTGGGAATCTCTCTCGCCATCCGAGGCGAGGCACAGTGCCTATGAAATGTTGGTTGGGTTTCAAAGTAATAGGCGTCAAAGATACAACATGCCTCTTTAATCAGGAGCCCACCGAGGCTGTGGCCGAGGAAGATGATTGGCCTTTGAGTTGTCTGGGCAGTGTCAGGAATCTCGCGGTGGCTGCCAAGGGTAAGAAACTCCACATACCTTTGTATCCTTCCGAAAGGTCTTGTAAGAGCTCAAAAAGGTTTTCCCTAACCCAGATATTGATATTCTATGATCCTTGTTCATGACCGATGAATCGTATCCATAGAGGAGGATCCGACTGTTGGGTATATCGTGTGGAAGGCTATCGCGTAGCCAGACGTGGTTGGTCCCTTTACTTTTGAATCCGCCGACCGCATGGCTGCCTAGGCCGTGAACTGCAATAATGCTACGCAAATTAGCTTGGGTTTTACATTGTGTTTGATTATTCATACTCTATTTTAGCATCTTTTGGCTCAAACAACGGGGTTATGCCGATGAATTCTGCGTCGACAGGGTATTCCAGATTCCTTGGGATACTAGTTGACATAAAGGTCGCAGTCTGATACTCGCCGAATGACCTCGCGAGGGTCAGATGAAGGTTGGACGACTCTTGCCCGCCAACAGTCGGAGCTAGCTGACGCTGAAGGTTCTCTTCTGTCACGGTGATGGGGATCCCTTGAATCCTATAACATGTTGCTTTTGGACGAACTCCACTGTCTTCCCCAGCCTGGATGGGTTGGTCGTTCGTGGACGAGCGGTCGTTTCGACATTCTCTCAGGCCAGCATCTCCGCCCCAAGGCAAAAGTCGTTTTAACAAGTCGCCCACCAAAGTTATATAATAAGATACAACTAGAGCAAATAGAATGGTCAATACGATAACCCCAGACATGGTATTGAGGTCAGAAGAGATGCCGTTAGACGACCAGAAGGGTGGTTTTGAAGAGGGAGATGTCGTGTGGGTAAAGCTGAAATTGCTACGGCCCAATGCCGTGGCCGATAGCGTGCATAATTGCATACCCAAGTACTTCTGAAATCTGCCTTGATGGCGCTATTCAACTATTCTAGTTCGCTGAGCTGCGTCACACTGCGGGTGTGGCTGTTGGTCCGCCTTGAGTTGCATTTTTATGGCCCGGCATTGGGCTCCTTAACCCACAATTGAGGAGGGGTAGTAAACTTATGCAACACTTGTGACACAGTCCGGCGCTTATTTAAAATATCCACGCTCTGGCAAGTGGCTGTTAGAAAAACAGGGACTGCAAAGTCACCTTGGTAGACTTATTATGGCAGACAGTCGCATTATGCTTCAATAATCAAAAGCGAGAAGAAAGTTTATACTTTAGAAATATATATAATTTTATATAGTCTGGCAATATGAAACTCGACATCCAAAGCAATATCCGTACAGTGGCAAGCCAATAAATAGCACACCAGGCGCCCAAAGAACCCATCAAACAGCCGCATCGGCCGATCCCATCGTCTCGTGACCATCATAGTAATGACAAGAGCCTCATTTTATGTGCAGTAAAGTCCATCATCTTCCTCATTAGAGATCCCCAGCCCGAGCTACGGGGTTGTTCAACCCCTTATAACTCGAGGGTGACCTCCTGGCCCTTTACACGACCGATGACCTGCTCCGGGGCGTACTTGGGGATGACCTCGTCGTCGTGCAGCATCTCGAATTCCTCAGTGGCGTCACGGCCCATGAAGTTCATGATTGCTTGGGGGCCGCCGGGGTGCTCTTCCAGCCAGTTAGAGAGGTCCATGACAACGCCCTTGACGACAACCCAAAGGTCGCCCTTTGTGTTGTGCTTGGCGACTTCCTCCATGGTAAATTCCTTCTCCGGGACCGAGAAATTCTTGGGATCGGGCTTGGCGGGGGCACTTACTTCGGGGGCAGCGGCAGGAGCAGCAGCCTGTGCCTGGACGGCGCCGGCGCCGGCGCCGGAGCCGCCGTTAGCCCACTCGACAGTAAGCTTGCCGGGGGAAGAAGGGTCGAGGTGCAGGGAGATCTGGCCCAGACGCTGGGCGGCACCAGCCGTTCCCTGGAGGGCCTTCTGGAAGAGGTAGTTGCTGGCGGTGTCACCAGCGACACGGCCGTAAACAACACAGCCCAGAAGAGATGAACCACCGAGACGGTTAGCACCGTGAACACCACCAGCCAGCTCACCACAGGCGTAGAGACCCTCGAAGGGCTCCTGGTCCTGGTTGAGGACCTGGGCCTTGTCGTTGATCTCGATACCACCCATGGTGAAGTGCAGCACGGGCTCCATAAGGGAGACGTGGAAGTCATCATTGATGTCAAATGGCATGTTGTGGAAGAACTTCTTGCCCCAGGGATCCTTCTGCTTGCCCTCAGCGATGGCGTTGTAGGTCTGGAAGGACTTCTGGAGGTGTTCAGGGGTGCATCCAATCTCCTTGGCGAGCTCCTTGCCAGTCATCTTCTTCATCAGACCACGGCCAGAGTAGTGACGAGTGTGGAAGTCAAGGACGTTGGAGGCCTTGGAGTTGAGGACAAGACGGATAGGGAACTTGCCCTTGTCCTTCTCCTTCCACATCATGCCCGAGACGTAGTCACGGTGTCCGAGGTCGTCGCAGAAGCGCTCGCCATCGGCGTTGAGAAGGATACCACCCTCACCACGGAGAGCCTCAGCAGCGAGGAACTTCCACTTTGAGCCAGGGTCCTTGGGGTCAACCAGACCGGTAGGGTGCACCTGGACCTTGTCCATATCAATGCCGTTACCGCCAATGGCCATGACCATCTTCTGGCCGTCACCAGTGGCGTGGGTGCCGTTGGTGGTGGCCAAGTCATAGGTATCAGGACGGTGCTTCTTCAGGAGGGAGGTCTCGCTGAAATCGGCGGCGTAGCCACCAGTAGCAAGGATGACGGGGCCCTCAGCAACGAGAGACTCTCCGTTGAACTCATATGTGACACCAGTGACCTTGTTTCCCTCCTTGTTCAGGCTGGTCACACGGGCCTTCTTGATGATGGTAACGCGGTGGGGTTCGTTCTCGGAGAGCTCTTCGAGACGCTGCATCAGGGCATAGGTGATGGCCATGCCGGGGAACTTGGCGTCATGGCCACGGTGTGTTCGGGGCTGAGAGTGTCCACTGATGCACGGTTAATCGCCTGATCGACTCATGACTGGTGTAAATGAATTGTGGGGAGTCGAAGCATGTACATACCCTAACCGCGAAACAAGAGTCAGGTCGAGGTTGAAGACGTCCTGCAGCCACTCGACGGCGGCAGCAGACTTGTAGGTGAGGACCTTGATGAGGTCCGGACGGGCCTTGTCACGGGCTGACTTGAGTGTATCATCGTAGAACTGCTTAACGCTGTCGGCGACGCCCTGCTCGACCTGCGTCCTTGTCAAGGCACCGTTGATGCCAGAAGTGGCCTTTGTGGAGTTGCCGCCGAAGAAACCTATACCAGAAACAATCACCGTCAGCAAAAGGCTGTTCTCACATGTGAAGCCGACTAGTGGCGGCTACTACCATCATGGACTCTTTCACATGACGTAGCGCAGCCACCGGTGGAGGAAGACCCGGGACGAACTCACCCTGCTTGTCTAGAACAGTAACGTTGCCACCGGCGAGGTAGATGGTGTGCGCTGCACTCAGGCCGGAAACTGTATGCAATTAGGTTGTCAGCATGCTGTTGGAACAATCGCATGATGCTTCCCCTGTGAGGGCGCAAGCTGCGACGCTATGCGACGGAACGGAAGGGCAACGGAACGGAAGGGCGAAACTTACGACCACCACCCACGACAATCACGCTGGGAGCCATGGCTGTGTCGAATAGCAAATATCAAATGTCAAAGGAGAAATCGTGGAAGCAGAAAATCGAGATAGAGCGACGTGTTTGGGGGAAGGGGGAGGGAGACGGATGAGTTGGGGAGAAGGGAAGAAGAGGTCAGTCGATGGCTAATGAATGAATTAAAAGCCCGGTCCATGGAAGCGTGGAGCTTACGCCGAGGACCAACTTGAGGCGGACGGATTGCGGGCGGTACGTATCCGTGCTTGCTCCTGCACTAGCCGAGGCACCTTGATTATCCACCCCATGGCACCATGCTACAGACACACGGCACGTTCTGCGTGACCCCAGCCCGCCGCGCCCATTCCCCAGGATTCCACTGTCACGACGAGCCCGGCCGCTGAGGCAATTGCCGAGTCAGGTCGCCTGCGAGATCGATGTTCCTCGGCCGTCCTCAGGTACCTGCCCTTTGCTGTTCGCAGAGCCTGCGTTCGGCCTACACGCCACCCCAGTTCCACTGACCGCTAGCGCCATGCCTCCAACTGCTACTAGGAGGGAGTACTGGTACTTGTATGGAGACTAACCTGCCTACGGTTCTCTATCCCCGTCCCCACAGTTGGGGAACAACAGCTGAGACCCCTTTGCTGTTGTTTGGAAGAAAAATTCCAGGGGGCTAAAGCTCCATTTGTCCTGCCTTCCCCAGCTTCCCCGATATCGCGCGTATCTATCCCGTTGGGTGTTCTTTGGCCAGGTGCTGCCATTGGTAGCAAACCACAGTGACTTGCTCGCTGACTGATAACCCGAAATGGCATGATCCCGGGCTGCATAAGGCCGAAGCCGTCTAACAATCAAATGCTATTCATGAACCCAAAAACCACCCGAAAATTGATTTCCGAATTGCAAATACGGATCCTCCCCATCAGCTGAATCCAATTCTGCAATAATAAGCCGGGGAAGGCCAAGCATGTGTGCCATTTGGGCCTTCTGATGACATGTGACGGCTCCCTTGGAGAACGAGGTACCTCTACATCCGCGCTAGGTCCAGGGCCCCTCCCCCACGAGTCCCCCAGATCATCTGACTCGCTCCGTTTCGTGAGCAGCTTTCGCGACTTTCTGATTGGCCACATGTCGAAGCATGTGAAAGGCCATTCTCACATCCCCTAATGAAATCAGATGTCCTCGAAACGCACGATGACAGAACCGCCCATCAGCGAGAACAGAGCATCATGGATCTCATCCCCTAAGACCCCTGCATCTATTCCAATTGATTTTACAACACATGGCCTGATAATTAGTCCATTACTGTAGCCAAAAGAAACGGCCGTCGCCGTCGGAAAGAACCCCGATGCTGACTGCGGCGAAAATACCGACGGCATAATTGGCTATTCTGAGTCACGTGCAATATCACGTGAGCTTCTCGCTCACTGGTCGCAATGCGCGGGGCTATCAGCATTCCACAAGCCGAATGACGTCGATCTGCTTGCATATTGTACGACTGCATGTTGCCAACTTTCTTGTTGTCAAACACTCTGCATAAACCCAAACAGCCATGAGGCCACTACTCCTCCTCTCGAGCCTCCTCTCCCTCACAACCCCATCGTCAGCCGCCTCACCACCACAACAGCACCCGCTCCTCCCCGTCATAATGCCCCCAACCGACCAACCGCAGAAGCAGCCCGCCGTCCCCCTCGTGGACATCCTCGGGACCCAGCGCTCCATCACGACTTTCTTCTCCCTCATCCGCCTCCACGAGCCCACCGAGTCCCTCCTCGGCGACCTCCACACCAACACCACCGTCCTCGCACCCCTCAACCCCGCCATCGAGGCCCTGCCCCGGAAACCCTGGGAGGACCCGGCCGACTACCAGGCCGGCGGCGCGAATGCCTACGAGGGCGAGGACGGCCGCGAGAGGGCGCAGCGCAACCTCCGGCGCTTCGTGGAGGCGCACCTCGTTACCGCCAGCCCCTGGCAGAAAGGGGAGGAGAACAAGGCGGGCACGCTCAAGGGCGAGAGCGGCAAGACGAGGGAGCTGTGGTGGGAGCTCAGGGACGACGGCAGGAGGTTCGTCATGCCGGACGGGGTCGAGGTCGACCGCGTCGCCAGCCAGGTGGCCAACGGGGAAGTCGTGAGTCTAAAATGATCCATCCCATCCCCGCGTTCTATTTTTGGGATGTGTGCCTTGCAGCGTCTGGAGAAGTTTGCTAACAGATCTTAGTGGATCCTCAAGGGTGTTTTGAACTACAGTTGATTTAGTATTATATGATAGAGACGCGCTGTATGATTAGAGATCAGAGTTATTTAATACAGATACTTGGCAAATCAAGTGAACCGCGCAGCTCCCAGGTCTCATCATAGAGCACCTATCCATGACCCGACTTAAGATATGATCTTGTGTCACACACGTAAACGATCCCAAACTACCTACCTATAAATAGCCATGCCAAAAGAGGCCTTCTTTCACGTTTAGACCATCACAAAGTAAAATTATAGTTGCAAAACAAAAACGAGTTCAATTATGCCATCCTAGCTCTTCGCCAATAGTGCAACATCAAAATTCTACTCAAATGGAAACACGGAACTCAGATTACCACCACACCGTGTTTAAACTCCTCAGAACGCCTCCCATGTTATCACTAAATTTCAGTGATCGTCAACCAAGACATTACCAAACGATAAAAATGTTTTCGGTGTTTGCCTGCAAATGCATCCCAGTCCATACAACGTCCAACCATGAATGAATAATGTAGATAATAATTTGCAAGAAGAGTCCAAAGCCGAGTGCAAGCCACATTGCCAGCGTTGCGAAAAGAAGAGGAGGTATGGTTCATTCTGACAGGAACAGTCCTGTTCAAAAGAAGGAAGCAATGCGATCCAAAGATGACTCCATGGAAGCTACCAAATCTCAGGCAGAGGAGCAAAGAAGAAGGAATGGACATCCGAGTCCCACATCTAGAAGAAAAACGCCGATAAAGCAAACAAGTAAGAAAAGTCGTAGGACTTGGTTATGTATGCCAGAGAAAAGCGAATAACAGAATAAAGTGGTATCTCAAAAAAGTGCAGTGAAATGAAGAGGAAAACGGCCAGGTCAGAAGATCAAAACAAGATGGCATCCGTAAATATCTTAGTTGACCTTGACTCTCTTGGCATCAGTGGTCAGGTCGTGACTCTCATTGTGATCGTTCTCTTCGTCCCCGATACTCTTGCGTTTCCCTGCTCCAGCTGTAGCAGTAGTTGCGCCAGCTGTAGGGGCACTGGTTGACGCAGTGCTCGAGTTGAAGTTAGTCTCCTCTCTCAAGAAGCTAGGGCCCGATCCCGCAACTGGGGTTGCAAAGTTCAACGGGCTAGGCAAGGTGTTATCACCGTTGCGAAAGTTCCAGTCGTTATAGAAACTGCTCGGACTTGGCAGAAACTCGGTACCAAGGAATCGGGAGGGGAGTGCAGAGGCTGGTGTCTCCATGTTCTGCTGAGGGAGGGGACGGGCGAAAGGGTTTGGTGGTCCCGTAGCTCCTGCAGACAAAAGTGCCGAGGCAGCGGAGGGCGAGGGCGGTGGAAGAACTACTCCAGAAGAATGCGAACTTTGTTGTTGGGAGGTTTGAGATGTGCTCTCATTCGCACCCTTAGGCGAGTTGGACTCAGAAACAGCGCTGTTAGGCTCCGAGCCACCACCAGGGATCTGAACTGTGAGGCGAGGGCCCCGTGGGCGTGCTCCGCTTGCTGAACCTGGACCTGTCTTGAAACTATTGGATCGAGAGGGCGGGGTAAAAACCGTCTCGGTAGCAGATGAGACGGAGGTTGTCCGTGTCCTGGCTCGGTTCTGTGGTGGTGAGGTACGAGCAGCAGATGTCACATCGACGGAGTGTGGGCGGTTAGCATTAGCCGCAGCTGCAGCGGCCATGGATTCCGACTTGGCGGGCTCGGATGCGAAGGATGCCAAGTGCTGCGAGAGAGGCGAACGATTTTCCTCGATGGGGGTAAAGATACTGTGCGACTTCCTTGGGAGCTTCTTGATGGCCATGTCGGTGTTCAACAGAGGCATTTGGGGGCGATCAAGGGGCTCATTCTTGACCTCAGGCGGTGGCGGTGGAGGCAGAAGTTCTCGTCGTTCCGGCTCAGGGGGAGTTGTGGAAATTTGAGGCACGTTCTGGGGCGGGGCGAGGTTTGCTTGAGGAGGCGATGGTTCAGGGCGAGCGGGAGGCATGGACATCGGCTGAGGCTGAGGGGGAGTCTGCGACATAAAGGGAGGAGGCGGCACAGATGATCGTCTTTCTTCCATATATACCGGAGGTTGAGGTGGCTGTGGCTGCTGCTGAGGTGGTTGCGGCATCTGATGCGGTGGTCCCTGGTGCTGCTGTGGATGTTGAGGTCCCTGGTGTGGTGGTGGCTGATGTTGAGGTTGGTGCTGCTGCTGAGGCGGTGGGGGTGGTGCGTACGGATACTGAGGCTGCTGCTGTTGTTGAGGCATCATACCAGGTTGACCATGAGGGTTATTGTAAAGGGGAGGTGTTGGCATATAGCCCATGCCGGGATGGCCGCCCTGAGGAGGCGCCATATTTGGTCCCATGCGACGAACATCGTTCCTTGAACCAGGTCGTGATCCGACCTGGGGCTGCGGTGTATGTCCACGGTGGTGAGGATGTCCAGGAAATGTACCATTTTGTGGCATAGGAGGAGATGCTGAAGGTGTGTGATGGCGAATCTGAGGGAAGTGCGGCTGGTTGTGGTACTGCGGAGGCATCAAGTGCGCTTCGAGGCCTTCGGGTTGAGGGGGTGTGCCATCGCCTTCCTCGTCATCGTCATCATCGTTGCCGCCATTGAAATCTGAGGGGCCCTTGTGTTCGTTTGGACCACCGTGCTGGTCGCGCATTGTTAGCCTAAGTTGCGATCCTGTGCGACGCGATGGAAACTCACGTATTGGTATCTAGTAATCAGATCACGCATGTCGGCTGACGAGTACTCGTACAGCTTCTTGTTGTTGCCGAAGACGAAAACCGCAACGTCGACGGAACAGAGCACGGACAGCTCGTGTGCCTTCTTGAAGAGACCGCCTTTGCGCTTCAGGAATGTGCTGAGGAACAAGTTGTGTCAGTAGACCAGACAGACAATTGGGGATGGGGAGAGGGTGGACGCGACATACACTGAGCGATTGCGGTCATCCTTGATGGCCTTGATCTCAATCTTTCTTCGACCCATCTTTGCGGCGTATGTACGTGTGTCGTCGCGAGTGACGGTCGATTGTCTAGCGAGATAAAAAGGGCGACCGGCGACCAAAGGTCTGGGCCTGGGTCGTGCGATTGGGCGACGGGGTCGACCGCGATGAGAGGATGAGTCGCGCCAGTTCGGATGTGTTGGTCGCGCTTTCCAAAAAGCCCGGATAGAGACTTGGTTTTACACAAGCGGCAGCGAATGTGGCGGGCAGGGGTGGTTTAGAGCTCTCTGCGACAAATGATGATGAGGCTTGGGGGAGAGACAGGAATAAAAATAGAATAGAGAAGGCAAAAAGAAAAGACAGGAATGGGAAAGAGTTGTGCGTGGTTGTGGACGGGGCCGGTAGGGGGAAGTAGCGGGATCCCGGATGTTTATGACCAGGTGGGCTTTCTGATGCGCGCTGGAGACAAGGGACGGTATTTGGGCTCGGCGCAGGTGAACACCCAGCGATTCTTCTGTGTGAGGGCCTTGTAGCGAGGCTTGAGTGATGGTGTTCTGTGGTTTGAGTGGTGGTGCAGGACAATGGGGCTGAATCTGGCGTTGGATGTTCTAATAATAGATGATCCGGATTGTGCTCATGCTCGCCAGTTGAGAAACTAGAAGGGGGAAAGAAAAAAGGAAGAGTGCAAAAGGGCGGGACGGTGTGGGAACCGGAAAAACCCTTGGCTGTTGGACGATGGGCCAGCAGGTGGACACCCAGAGTGCCCTCAGGTGCTAACGGGCAAGGGGTCAACCTTGAACCAAAATACCTCCCTGGCCCACCTAATGCAGGCCGACAGCGAGGTACCAGCTTGTTCGGGGCAGGTACTGGATCTGCACAGTGCGAAATGAGGAGGGCTTAGCGCGACCCGGATTACGTTACAGACGAGAGGAGAGGGGAGAGGGGAACTGCCCTAAGGTAGGAAGGTACTAGGCGAGGTACCTGTCTCACGGTCTCACCACCAGGTGTGCAGTGCAGGTACTGGTAATCAAAGGCTTGAACCCTGAAACGGGTTGTTCCTCGCCCCGGGCTTTGGTCGAGATATCTTCTGTTTGTTCTCTTGACTTCAAGCTTTGGCCACGGCAGTTATACCGTCGTCGAGTCGAGTGCTGTCGGTTCACCCTAGCTCCCAAGCTTGACTATGCTCCGATGACAACTAAGGCCCGGTACTGTTGGAAACTTGCCTAACGGGCATCTTAACCCAAAGTTCTTCTAGGACATGCAGCTAAGACAACCAACTGTGGCCTCTACAACCGACACCAGAAGAGCCTGTCTATCCCCGGACAGTCGCTGGACGATGGACCAATCTCTGGCCTGGCAGTCAATTCACCTCCTCACCCATCCAATGGTAAAGCGACAGTGTGCTTCAACCTGCCATCCATCCATCTCATCCCCCACGCACACACGCCTAGCTTATTCGCGGTGGCAGTGCTGCAGCAGACTTGCCAGCGGCCCTCGATCCCATACACACTTTTTTATCTGATCTCACTGCGATTTCTCTGCGACGCTGCATGTATGCAGGAGATATGAAGTGCCCTCAATTGTAGGGCGGCTAACCAGGGCTGCATAGTAGTATCAAGCCTCAGAAACATTGGGACCTTAGGCCTTTTTGGTATTGATTGTCCTCCGCACACGGCTCGAAGGAATCGGTTGCTCGGAGTCTTTTCCATATTAGAGGCCTAGGGTTGTTCATCAATGATGCCAGGGTGTTGGACAGGGTTTCCGCTGGAGTGTGTCAGTTCGTCAGGTCATCAATCTACCTCACATAATATTAGGTACGCATGGAGAATTAATTCCACCCAGATTCTGGATGCAACCTTGAGACTACGAAGTATTGATTCACCCAGACAATATATCGCGAGGCATCTGGTGAGTACGACATCATCACAGACCAGATCTCGATAACTTTGTTTGCTTTTTATGCAGTCGACTCTCGCACCGGAGCTCAAAACGTCGCACTACTCGACCTTACATCAATTAGCCCCTCCTATAATATCCAGGTCTGAATGGTACTAATGCACACGAGCACACCCAATCGAGCAACACACACGCTACAATGTACCATTCCGCGCTGGCCGTTGAACAAATGCGCGGGAAGCGAACCTACAAACAAACCACTGCAGCCACATCACAATGTCATGGGACGCTGCAGGTACCTTGCGCAGAAGCAGTCATCATCGTACAGCCATCTGGAACCTCCAACCTGGTGGTGCTCCAGCTTACCTACATGAACGCGTACAGTGCATGCGCACCGTCACACGTTCTCTCAGCTCACAGCCCCAAAAGCCCTGCACTCCAGCTGATCCGCCAGCCAACCAGAGGCCGAGCCTTCCCGACCTGAGGGAACCAGCTTATCGAAAAGTCCAAATTTCCCAATCTGAGACATGAGCAAAACCTCACGCAACCACGTGGAGAAAGCGCTCTTCCCCATCCCGAGCCTTGCCTTGACCGACCACCGGCATTCTGCCACTTCCTCCCGCCGCCGTGGCAATGTGTAGCCAAAAAAAAGACCACGGCGGCGGATAGATCTACCTTATCCCTTTGCGGCGAACCTTCAACGTTACCGTCTGCCAGGTAATCAATCAATCTATCGATCGATTGTGGTAACACCGGGCTAGCTTATCCATTGCGCCGGCCGTTGCGCTGCCTTCGTTACCCGTCGCGCACTACTCATGTGCCTATGCCTTGATGGCCGTGAGACTGTCCAATCATCGCGCTTACGCGCTTGCAAAGCAATTGAGCGGCACACGTCTCTCCCGGCATTGCGCATCCTTCACCTGAACAACTTGTTTCCTCGAAGTCTTCTCTTGCCGCAACACGGTCTGATTGGCTCGCGACCTTCTCCACCTAGAATCCCATTGCCTTATGTCCACATCTGGCTTAGCCATATTACTAAGAATACAATTTGGCCTGGTAGTGGCTCCACCGCCCAGACCCATCGAGATAACCGATGTCTGTCACCACTCACCCTCACTTTATAATGCCCAGGTTGAGTTCCAAGATTCCCGCCACTGCTGGCGAAAGAGAAACACAAGAGGCGAGAGAAGAGGGGAAACAGGACAACCCAGAGCTGTGGCGGGATCCTGCGCTGCGCAGTTCCGCCAAACTAGCATTCATGATTCCGCCTCCACGGCCACCTCTCTCCCTCGGACCAACAGACCTGCCTGGGACGCTTCGCATTATCACAGGACGTTTCATCGGTGCACGAGGACCACAAATTTTCGCAAACCAATGCCCACGGCCGCAGCACCAACCCGGCCGTCGGATTGGATCAGATTCGACCTTGTGTGAGGGGCTGTTAAGCGCCCGGACGATACCCCGATCGTTGACGACCACGCGCATATTCCTCTCCCTCTCTCACTCACTCTCACTCACACACACCGACCAGTCAGCCAACAGCGCGCAATCTCATCAGTCACCATCCGCACTGGCATGACGGCCTTAACGCAAAGCCTCTCTAGCTGCAGGCCGTCCCTCACCCGCCATTGGCCACACCAGCTTTCTTCCTGTCAGGGTCACATTGGAAATTCATCCACTTGCACCTGTGTTTGCGCTATTTTTAGGCACCCCTGCACGCCTTAGTGCCAAGCTGTCCAGAGGGGGACAAAAAGTGGGCTAATTACCTTGGTGAGCTTCTGATGAAACAAGGGTGGGAATAGGCAACACTGTCGCCTGGATACCCAATTGTCCGCCAACCCGGTCACGCAAACGAAAGCACTTCACCGCATTGCACAGCGCAGCACACATACGGTACCTGGCCTCTACGTAGCACGTAACACACGGACATGCAGCCCGGCCTTTACCTCTCGTAGAAGTCCCCCCAAAGAGGTGGCTCACCATGCGTCGTCTGAGGCGAAGCAAAATACTTGCATGCCTCACCCAGTCGCAGATCATGCTCGTATTTATGCTGAATTGTTCGTATTGCACTACGCGACTGAAGCCAGCATTTATGCCTATTTTTTCACTCGTCAAGCTCAAATCGGCTCGTCTCATCTTCATTTGTCCATTTTCCCCGCGGCTCATTAGTGTGGTTGGTAACATGTAGCCAATCTGCCTTTTTCCCCTTAAATCCCAAAAACGCCAGTGCTTGATCGATCCTCGCAATAATACAGCCTTCGACTACTTGAACAGGTAGGGAAAGAATAAACACCGGAGTTTGTGTTGGTGTCTTAGATGTCATCAACCATCCCAAATCCATTAAACAAAATCTCACCAAGCATCATGTATCACCACATGTGACCCCCAAAAAAGGATTGCGCAATCATGGAGAGCCGGCCGTGCCTGCAGGGGCGTTGTACGAACCGAAACCTCCGTGGTCCGCAGCACCGTTGTCCGTGTTCATCGTACCGTTAAGCAGAGGGCATAACCTTTTGAGCAAGTCAGTAAATGTGGGAGTACCATGTGTGAGCAGTAGTTGTGTGTGAGTGTGGTGTGGAATGGCCGATGATGGTGAGAAATTAGTCCAATGGTTCGAGAGCGTCTGCGTCTTCATCGTGGGCTGCCCACTCTGACTTGTATTGTAGAGCTTCTTTTTGCAGCCGTTCTTTCAGCTTCAGCAATTCTTCTCGCTCTTCTCTCTCTTTGTTCGCTTTTTCAAGACGCTCTTTCGCACGTTGCTTCTTGAGCTGCCACTTGGATGGCGGAGCATCCGGCGCGCGCTTCTTGCAACCTTCTTTGGCTTCACGCTTCTGTCTTGGAGCCTGGCTCTGCTTGTCTTTCTTCTTTTGCTTGTCCAATGCCTGAAGCGTGTGGACCATGGCTGGTAATCTCTTCTTCTTGGACTTCTTTCTTGACAGACGCAACTCCTCATCATCGGGAAGAGTGACACTCCACCAATCAAAAGACGGGCGTGGGGGTGGGGAGAAGGGTTGGGGTTCCATACTTTTTGTTTGTCTTGATATGTCCCACCTGGCCGCAATTGGCACACTTCCGGGTTGTGCCCGTAACGATCTTATCGCCGGAAACGACCGCGCCAGGGGATCCAGCATCACCGGGGGCATTCGCT